GGCATAAATGCCCTCATTTGTAAAAATAGGATGGTTAGCTGGGTGCCAGCGGCTCACCCATGTAATCCTAGCTGCTCAGGAGGCTGAAATATGAGGATCGCAGTTGGAAGTAGCCTAGGCAGAAAAGTCCGTGAGACTCCAGTTAACCAGCAAAAAGCTGGAAGTGGAGCTGTGGCTCAAGTGGTAGAATGTCAGCCTTGAGGGGAGTGGGGGGAAAGCCAAGGTACCGTGCCCAGGGTTCAAGTTCAAGGCCCGGGACCGGTACAAAAATAAAAATAACAACGAAAAGGAACTGTTTTCACTGCATCCTTCCCAGAGAGTTGTACCAATTCAGAGAGAACTTAGACTGGCACGTTGCCTGGTGCAGAAATAAACGTGCACAGTTACTAGCAATACCACTATGATGAATCTTCACCTTGAGCGGTAGGTGCGGACCGCAGGGGAGACACCCGGCCACGCCCTTTGCAAGGTCTTGGGGTGACTTCCTCCCAAGGGGGCCTTCCCCGGACCTAGCGGGATGCAGAGATGCATTCGGCGACAAGACCATGACCTTCACCCCGGACGACGACGCGAGCCCCCCAAGGCCCTCCCCACCCAGCCCCGCCCCCCTGCCTCAGTTTCCCCGGGACTCGTAGCCCCACAGGCCGTTACCCTAGGGGCGACGCCGAGGAAGAAAGGCCCCGAGGGACAACAGTGGCTGCCCCGCCGTGCCCGAGGGGGCGAGCACGAGCCCTAACTTCCGCAGGCTCGCGCGGCCCCGCCCCAGCCCCGACCCCTACGGCACCTGAGCTGCGGCTCATGCGCTTCTCCCAGCCGGGCGGCAGCTTCTCCTCATCCGCCATCTTCCTCCTGCCGCAGCGCCTGCTCCGCCTCCGCCGCACCGCCTGCGATCTGTGCCCGCCCACCACCGCTGTTGATTGGTTCGCTGAGTCCAGCCCTAAGGCAGGTTGACGACAGCCATTGGACACTCTAACCGTCCCGTCTGGCATTCTGGCTTCTTATTGGACAAGAAGCAACGACGGGCGGATCTACCACGGTTTACCTGAGCCCCGCCCTCGGGCGGCCTCATGCGGGCCCCGCCCCCTCCTCTTTCTCAGTAATCTAGTGGTGGGAAGATTAGGGGGGCCCGCCCTTTTCAACGCCCTTCGGCAAACGGCGAAGCCCGACCCCTCCTTGGCGCTCCTAGCCGCAGAGCCCATCCGGGCGAGAGTGTCCTGATTGGCTGCCGAGGCCGCAAGTCCCGCCTTCCCGAGCCGTTCTGCAAGGCCCACAAGTCCCCACGCGGAAGCGGCGACCAGGTCTGGAAGTCAGTAGCAGGAAGCTGCCTTTCCTGTTGTCTTAGCAACGCAGTTGCCTTAGTGACCAGTAGCTAAGCGCAAAGCTTAAATTTGGCAGCGCCATTCTCCCCCTTCGCACCCGTTTCCTCCAGCTGTCCAAGGCTAACCCTGCTCCTTTTGTTTTTGCAAGGATAACCATTTCTGCTACAGACCCAAACACATTGTCTTTTGCAATCAACTTCAACCGAGTCCCTCTCCACCTGGCTTCCTTCTCCGTCCTGCATGACTGGTGGGTGATGGCATGGCCACTCAGATGAGAAAATTGGAGACTTGGGTGGGAGGAGAATGAGGTTAATTTTACGTCGATTTATTTATTTATTATTTATGCTGCTGGCCCTGGTGCTTGAACTTGGGCCTGGGTTCTGTCCCTGAGCTTTCTTGCTCAAGGTTAGTGCTCTACTACTTGAGCCATAGCTCCACTTTCAGGGTTTTGCTGGTTAACTGAAGAGAGGCATCATGGATTTTCTTGCCCGGGCTGGCTTCCAACCTCAATCCTCAAATTTCAGCCTCCTGAATAGCTAGGATTATAGGCGTGAGACCCTGGGGCTCTACCAAATTCTTGCCAATGTGATGAATTGAAAACATCTTTCTGTGTGTTTACTAGCGGGCAAGAGCCCAGTTGTCTGACAAAAACACAAAGAAGTGAATGACAAGCCAACCTAAGCCAGCTGTCTGTGGCTCTCACCTATAATTCTAGCCACTCAGGAGGCTGAGAGCTGAGAATTCAGGTTGGAAGCCAGCCTGGGAGATGGAGGAGAGATCACCTTCAACTAGCTCCAGGCCAAAAGCATTCAAATCCAGTTTCCCTAGAACAAACCACGCTAAGTGAAGTAAGCCAGGTTCAGAGAGACAAACGCACATGTTTCTCTCTGATATGTGGACAGATCTAAAATACACTGACTTGGATAAGTTATACAGGATTCTAGATATTCACACAATGATACCAACTGAGGATACTCTTAGGAGAGAAGCACAAAGGCACAATGTCTATGTGCCTCTGCATATTTATATAAAACAATACACATAGTGAAACAAACTCCACGATATGTAAACAGACCTTTTTTTATTTTGGTTGGTCATGGGGCTTGAACTCTGGGCCTGGGCGCTGTCCCTCAGCTCTTAAGCTCAAGGCTAGTGCTCTATTACTTGAGCTACAGCACCATTTCCTGTTTTCTGGTGATTTTTCTGGAGAGTCTCATGGACTTTTCTGCCCAGGCTCACTTTGAACCACAATCCTCAGATCTCAGCCTCCTGAGTAGCTAGGATTACAGGCGAGAGCCACCGGTGCCCAGCTTTGATTCTGTCTTCTTTACCTTATGGATAGTATATTCAAGTGTATACCTTTGGAAGGGTTGAGGGCATAGATTTGAGGGAAAAAGGTGAGCAGTAGAGCTCACTGGACACTGATGAAAGTGAATTATACAACTGGAGAGTGGAGACGGGAGGGAGGGTCTGGGACTGAGGGAACAGAAGACACAGTATGAAAGGAAATGTACTACTCTACCTGATTCAGGTAATTGGAATCCCTCTGGATATCACATCTATAACAATAATTTTAAAATAATCCAGTACCCAAGAAAGGAGGCAGAAAGCTGGAACTTGGGGGAGTGGAGGTGCAGTGGTCAAGACTTGGCAATGTTTTTGTACTGAGGATCACAAGGTCGCTGAGGAGAGAATGGATGCATGAAGCTGAGAAAGGCTTCGTAGTGAGGCTGCATCTAGGTTCCTCTTCCACTGCAGGCACAAGGCCAAGATCTACCGGGAAAGAGGGGAAGGGCATTGGGCTTCGAGTCTCTGGAAACACCAGAGATTGTGGATGCTTACAAATGTTTTGTTTTTCTTTTGTTTTTCAGTCTACCCTCTACAGCATGCCAATGAAGCAGATGTGAAAATGTGGTGAAGTCTGGTGTGGTGGTTACATACCTGGAATTGCAGCACCCAGAGGATGAGGCAGTACGATTATGAGTTTGAAACCAGCCTGGGTTACAGGCCAGGGGCTGGTGGCTATGCCTATAATCCTAGCTACTCAGGAGGCTGAGATTTGAGGATCGCAGTTCAAGGCTATCCTGGGCAAGAAAGTCCATGAAACTCATCTCCAATTAACCACCAGAAAACCGCAAGTGGCGCTGTGGCTCAAGTGGTAGAGTTCTAGCCTTGAGCTGAAGAGCTGAGGGACAGCGCCCTGATCCAGATTTCAAGCCTCACAACTGAAGCAGGGGTAGGGGGGGCAAAAGGGTTTGAGGCCAAGTTCAAGTCCTGGTACTACTACCTCTCCATCCAAAAAACCCCACAACACATTAAAAGAGAAACACAGTTCCAACTTAGAAAAGGCTGTCTTGGTCTGTTTTCTGTAGCTATAACTGAATACTAGGGGTAGGGTTAATTTGTAAAGAGTAAGTTTGTCCAGTGACTGTGGCTCATGCCTATAATCCTAGATACTCAGGAAGCTGAGATCTCAGGATCATGGTTCAAAGCTAGGCCTGGCAGAAAGGTCCTCGTGAAACTCCTATCTCCAACTAACCACTCAAAAACTGGAAGTGGTGCTGTGGCTCAAGTGGTAGATTGCTAGCCTTGAGCACAAAGCAGCTCAGGGACAGCATCCAGGCCCAGAGTTCAAGCCTCACAACAGACAAAAAAAAAAAAAGGTAACAGTTTACAGAAAGCTAAGTAACAGAAGAGAATTTCTTCACAGAGTGAAAGGAACATACAAGAGATAGAGACAAGTTAACAGACCCCTCCCCGTTTTTTGCCAGTCCTAGGGCTTGAACTCAGAACCTGGGTGCTGTCGGATGCTCTTTGTGCTTTAGGCTAGAACTCTATGACTTAAGCCACAGCACCACTTCCAGCATTTTTGAGTAGTTTATTGGTGATAAGAGTCTCACAGGGCAGGGACTTTTCTGCCCAGGCTGGCTTCAAACAGTGATCCTCAAATCTCATCCTCCTGAATAGCTAGGATTACAAGTGTGAGCCTTGGGCACTCAGCTCAGACCCATTCTTGAAATAATCTATCAATTCCTGAAGCACAGACTTCAGGAGCTTATTATCTCTTAAAAGTTCCATCTGGAGCCACAAATGGTGGCTCAATTCTGTAATCTTAGCTAGTTGGGATCAAAGTTCACCCAGGCAAAACAAAGTAACCAAATTTCATATGATCCAATCTCAACTAAGGGCTGGGCATGGAAGAATAGTAGAATTACAGTCCAGGCTATCCTGGGCATAAAGCAAGACTCTACCTGGAAAATAACCAATGGACAAAGGGGCTGGAGGGTGGCTCAAGTGGTGGAGCGCCTGCCTAGCAAAGCTGGAGAGACTCTGACTTCAATCTCCAGGATGTGGTGGATGGTGGAGGGTACTTGGGGGTGGGAAGCTGGTCTCAACTTAGGATCCTCTTGCTTCAGCCTCCCAAGTGTTAGAATTACAGGTATTCACCACAACTGGGTTCCCCTACAGTCGGATGCTCTTCAGAGACCCAAAGCAAAACTCAAGAGCCCTCAACTGTGCCAGAATAGACTTGTCTATTCCTCCCTGGCTGCTCCAGTCTATCTGAGCTCCCAGTGGGCAGCTATATCCTGACAGCAGAGTATCAACCAGATGGCAGCCTCCCCTCCCAACACAACCCTCAACAAACACAACAACAGAGCAGCATCTAATTCTTTATTAATGAGAATTTTTAAAAACAAACATCCATAGCAATGGGAGAGGTGAGGTTGGAGGATGAGGAGAGGACAGGAGGAGGACTTCTCTACTGGTAGTAAAGTTCCAGGTTCATTCCATCATGGATTTCATCTGGAATTAACTGTGTTAAGGAACTTTCTCTGAGAGGTCTCCAGCCCTCACCCCTCAGCCATTCACAGTTGGAAATCAGGTGGCCAGAGAATCCATTCCAGGGCAGGTGAAACAATTCTGGAGTGGGCAAATTCTGTTGTTGTTGGTTTGTTTTGTTTTTTTTGGGGGGGAGGGATCAGTAGTGGGCCCTGAACTCTGGGCCTGGGTGCTGTCCCTCAGCTCTTCAGCTCAAGGCTAGCATTCTACCACTTGAGCCACAGCACTACTTCCAGCTTTTTCTGCTTATGTGATGCTGCAAAATTGAACCCAGGGACTCATGCATGCAAGGAAAGCACTCTACCACTGAGCCACCTTCCCAGCCCTCTTTGAGTTTTGACTCTGGGATTCAAACTTAGTGTAAGGCTTGCTTTCGCTCATTGGCAGGTATTCTACAACCCCTGTACTGGGCTAATTTGGAGAAAATCCAAACTATTCGCTCATTAGCAGGTATTCTACAACCCCTGTACTGGGCTAATTTGGAGAAAATCCAAACTATTAAAAAAATTTCACCTTGGTGTTAGTGAGATACTAACTTCTATAATCCTAGCTACTCAGTAGGTTGAGATCTAAGGATAGAGGCTTGAGGCTTGAAAAGCCAACCTGGGCAGAAAAGTCTGTAAGACTCTTCTCCAATTAACCAGCAAAAGGCCACAAGTGGAAACTGTGGCTCAAGTGGTAGAGCACCAGTCTTAAGCAAAAAGGCTAAGTAACATCGCCCAGGAATTCAAGCCCCAGGACTGGCATAAACACACCCAAAAAATACCTGCTCCCTTTCTGTATAACACATACTTTTTTTTTTTGCCAGTCGTGGGGCTTGAATTCTGGGCCTGGGCGCTGTCCCTCAGTTCTTCAGCTCAAGACTAGTGCTCTACCACTTGAGCCATAGCCCCCACCTTCTGGCTTTTTCTGTTTCTGTGGTGCTGAGGAATCGAACCCAGGGCCTCATGCACGTGAGGCAAACACTCTAGCACTGAGCCACCTTCCCAGCCCTAAGGCTTACTTGAGTCTCAACTCCACCTTGACTTGTCCTAAACCTCATTAATAAATACTATGAGCTCAAAGTGTCAAAGCTCTTTCCCCCTCTCAGCAAAATGATCACCTGGCTCCCATTTTCTCAGTGCCCATCAGTTGCTGAGTTTTTTTTTTTTTTGGGGGGGGGGAGGGGTCCTGTCATGGGGCCTGAACTCTGGGCCTGGGCGCTGTCCCTCAGCTCTTCAGCTCAAGGCTAGCACTCTACCACTTGAGCCACAGCACCACTTCCAGCTTTTTTCTTTTTGCTTATGTGGTGCTGAGGAATCGAACCCAGGGCCTCAGGCTTGCAAGGCAAGCGCTCTACCACTGAGCCACCTTCCCAGCCCAGTTGCTGAGTTCTAACTGAACACTTTAATTTCCCACAGGCTTCAGTGTACAACCAAGAGAATGGGGCTCAGTTCTTTCTGAAGAAGTCAGGAAAGGATACAATCCCCCAGAGACACATGGTCCTTGAAAATCGTGTACCTATGGGACAGAGACCATTCAGAGTGAGCCCAAGGGAGGCTTTTTGCACTGGAGGGGGGCAGGTTGCCCTTCCCCACTCCCTCCAAGGGCTGATTACTGTCTTCCTCTATCCCCCATCCACCACCGTCAAACCTGGTGACATTCAGCCCCGCTGCTCTCCCATCACACCATTTTTTTTTCTTTTTTGCCAGTCCTGGGGCTTGAACTCAGGCCCTGGGCGACTCTCCCTGAGCCTGTGCTCAAGGCCAGCACTCTACCACTTGAGCCACAGCGCCACTGCCGGCTTTTTGTGTTTTGTGTACGGAGGAATCGAACCCAGAGCTTCAAGCATGCGAGGCAAGCATTCCACCACTAAGCCACATTCCTAGGCCTCACTCACCATTTTTTAAGGACAATTTTGTTCCAACGGGTGCCAGTTTGGGCAGCGATTAACTTCTTAAGGTCCCCGATGGTGTCATCGGTGCTGGGCGCAGAGAAGTTAAGGCAAACGGAAGGGAGACGTAGAACCAGAAAAATGACAAACTCGGGCTCAATCTCTTACCCCCGGGTCGGGACCCAATGCGCCCTCCCTCCCGGGCTCCATCGGGGAGCACCCTCCAACATCGACTGTGACCCCGCCCCGGGCCCAGCACCCCCGGAGCCGCCGGATACTTGCACTTCACGCGGACTTTCTTCCCCAGACGGTCGTTGCAAACAACCTCGATCATCCTGGCGGGATCTGTACCCAGGGCCGAGAGAAGACGCCATTGTCAGACTTCCGGGATGCCCCGGGTCTCCCCCAGTCCGGAAGATCCCGTGTGTGTGTGGGGGGGGGGGGCTTCTCACCTCCCTCAACCCCACCATCCAAGCCCTGACGCCCCCAAATCCGACGTCCAGGACGCACCGGTCTCCGCCCCTCGTCGCCTGACAGCCAGGCCCGGCCCCGGGGCTCGCGGCTTCCCCTCCCGCCGACTCCCCAACCCTCGGCGGCTCAGGCCCCGCCGCCGCCCCCGCCCCCCCCCAACACTGCGGGCCCCTCCGAGTGACCTTTCACCTCGAATCTCGTCGAACCTTCTTCCGACGCCACAAACTCCTCACTGGAAACGCTTTGGTCTTGACCAAAGGAAATACTGGTGAAACCGGAAGCGGAAGTGACACACCGGAAGTCCCCGGGTTGTCCGCACCTGGCCAGTTCTTTAAGGTTCCGGCGTGGAAGTGGAAGTTGAGGGAGTCAACTCGCCTCTTTGCGGGGTCCTGAGGCGATCGAGTGTGTGAGTGGCTGTCTGTCTGCCTGTCTGCCTGTCTGTCTGTGTGTGTCTGTCTCGGGGAATTCATGGCCAATGCCCGGCCTCGCTTGAGACCCTTCTAATGTGGAGTCTTGCTCCTTTGATGGGTATCAGTGGGATTCACGGGTCGGGTTCCACAAAGCCTTTTTGCTTTCTTTTTCTTTTGGGTGCCGGTCGTAGGGTTCGAACTCAGGACTTGGCGCTCGAGCTCCGTCTCTGGGCGTGTCACTGGGCTTTTTTTTTTGCTCAAGACTCGCACTCTGCCACAGTCACAATGAAAGCTGGAAATTGCACCATTGCAAAAGCTTTTGCTTCTGTACCTTCAGGAATCATTTTGTACCAGAATTCCAAGTTTGTGGGTACTAGTGGGATAGCCCCTCTCCCTGAATTTAAGCAGACACCTCCTGACAAAGGATCTGGTTGAAGATTTCTTCTCCACGGAGATTCTTCTCTCCCACCCCGTTTCGGTGAACCTAAATTGATTTTTGACAGGAATCATCTTATTTGTTATATTATTATTATTGTCTGTCGTGGGGCTTGAACTCTGTGCCTGGCTGCTGTCCCTCAGCTCTTCAGCTCAAGGTTAGCGCTCTACCACTTGAGCCACTGCACCACATCTGACCATGATGGTCAGATCTCTGCTGCCACACCTACTCCGGTGGAGTCTGCTTAGCATGGAACACCTGCTTTCAGACCTGAGAATGGGGCTTCACAGAGACCTATCTCTGAGAATGGGACTTCACCGAAGTCTACCTCAGAGAATGAGGCTTCAAAGAGGCCTACCTCCTGAAAAGGCTGGCAAGCCCCTGGGAAAGATGTGTTGCTGTTCCTGTTTTTCTTTTCTTCACTGCATAGGAGTTCCTATTAATCTTTTACTGTTCCTGCTGCTTGTTCTACTTACTCATGCTCAACGTTCCCTTATTCAAGGCTCTTTCTTAAAAGTGTTGACGTCTCCAATATCTGATGAGTGTCTTGAGAATATGACTAACTCACCAGAGTTAAGTGCTACCCTGAAAGCCCCTCTTATGGAGGCTAGTAGACAAGTCATAAGTAAATATAAAAGTATTGGGGTTTTCATGACGTCACTTCAGCAGAAGGAATTGTAAGAGATTTACAAGAAGCTGTAGGCACGGCTAGAGCAGAAAGAGTGTATGGCTATTGGAGACTTCCCTTTAATCCTGAAGCATATACAATAGACCCATATAGATATCCTGTAGATAAGAAAGATGTAGAGGGATATGTAGACCAAAAGCTAAATAAGATTCCTAAAAGGTTGGTAGATGGAAGGTGGCAATGGCTTATCAGAGGAAAATGGTGGGATCCTCCATTATCTAGAGGACTCCAAAGACTTCCCCCAGAGCCATAGCCTTTAACAGGTGTGTATGATAAGGATGGCAACCGTTGGGTAAACTACTTAGGAGAAAGAACTTCCTATTACTCTCATTTACTGAGAGACTTGCTAGATCTAGGCCTCCTTGGTGCTTACTATTAAAGAAGGAACAAGAAAGATCTTATGAGACAGTTAAGGCCTCTATAGAAAAGAGTAAATGATTATGTGAAAGGGTTACAGAAAAGACACTATGAGCTTAAATTTGATATATGGCCAGATTTAACTAAGTATACTGAATATCATGATTTTTGGCCACAAATTGGGGACCCTCTAAAGAATGGCAAAGAAGCACAATTGCTTAGAAAAGATTTAAAACGTATAAAGTATAAAACTAAATAAAAGTAACTATAAAGTACTAGAGTTCATGCCTTTCTGTTCAGCACCTTGCCCATATGCTCTGGTTTAATGGTTAATTGGTGATAAACATCGAAACCCATTGTATTTCTTAAAAATAGAGGTAAAGCCAAAAACAAGTGCCTATCGTCATAACTCGTCATCCAAAAACAAGATCAGGTGACCAGCTGGTGACCACCTAAGAATGAAGCCTTGCAGCAAGATTGTGTAACCTTTTGCCCTTTCTCATGGAGACTTTTGCTATAAAAGTTTGTTATCCTCTGCATTAAATCGCACTCAGCATCCACTCCTCTTGTGTGAGTTGTCTGTTTGCCATCTCCCCACCTATTCCAGTTCATCCACTAGGTGTCCTCCGTTGTCCCGACGGAGCTGGTCCATGGTACTCTGCCTTCTGAGTAGCTAGGATTACAGATGTGAGCCACCAGGGCCTAGTGGCCAACATTCATCCCCATGAGACAGCACCTCCCCCCCTCCAATGACCCAAATCACCCTCCAGTAGGCCCCCACTTTTTTTTTTTTTTTTGTCGGTCATGGGGCTTGAATTCGGCCTGGGCGCTGTCCCTCAGCTCTTCAGCCGAAGAAGAGTGCTCTACCACTTGAGCTACAGTGCCACTTCTGGTTTTCTAGTGGTTTATTGGAGATAAGAGTCTCATGGTCTTTCCTGCCCGGGCTGGCTTTGAACCGTGATCCCCAGATCTCAGCTTCCTGAGTAGCTAGGATGATAGGCGTGAGCCACCGGCGCCCGGCCTAGGCCCCACTTCTTAAAGCTACCACTGTCTCCCAATATGGGCCACACTAAGGACCAAGTTTTCAATATTGCACCCTTGAGGGGCATAGTCAGACTGTGGCACAAATCATGAACCTTTTCCACGGGATGGCCTCGAATGTTCTTCACCGAACCTCACATCATAGGTTGAGATAGTGGTTCAGATAGGTGAGAAGCATCCCTATTTCTAGTTGGCTACGGTGGGGCACACCTGTAATCCCAGTTCCAGGGTCATACCTGGAACTGGGAGAGTTGTCTTTTTAATACTCTGTATTAAAAAAAATAATAATAAAACTGCCAGGCACCAGTGGCTCATGCCTATAATCCTACCTACTAAGGAGGCTGAAACCAGCCCGAGCGGGGAAGTCCGTGAGACTCTAATCTCCAATAAACCACTCAGAAAACTGAAAGTGGCACCAAGTAGTAGTGTGCTAGCCTTGAGCAAAAGAGCTCAGGGACAGCGCCTACACTAGTCCCTGATCACAAGCCCCAGGGCTATTCCCCCCAAAACAAACAAACAAGAAGCCTGGCCTTGGAATCCTTTTCTGGTTTGATATGATCCCTTCTGCATGAATGCCTAACGCTGATGGTACCACCTTCTACGGGGTTCTCATCAGAGGCCATCTGTTCATATGTGTAAAACTCCAATCCTAGAATTTCAGATTCCAAATCAAGGAGCTAAAAACTTAAAAATGAAGGCACCCAGCCTGGAGTATTTTGTTCCAGCAATGGAAAACAAACTTAGAAGAAACTAAGATTCTGTCTTAGAGCCCACCATTTTAGGAGAGCTGGCCCAATGAGACCTATAGCCTGTTACATTTAGAATTTAGCCTGTCATTCTTCAGGACCCTGCAGAGTCTCTCCCAGTGGTTTTTCCAGTATAGGGAAACCTAATTGAAAAATTTCATTGATTAGGCCAGTTGCTGGTGTCTCATGCCTATAATCCTAGCGATTCAGGAGGCTGAGATCTGAGAACACTCCTCTTTCTGAAGAACCAGGGAAACCAAGATAAGCCCTGAGAGAAGTAAAGGCCCTGACAACCTTGTAGCTATCCTCCACAGGGGACAACTTGTCCCTTCCCCTTGGGGTGAGAGGGATGGTGATCCAACCAGATGCCAGAAGAACTGTGCCTCCCCCAAGAGGCATATAAAAGGGAGACTCCAGGAACCTGCATTGGGCTCCTGATTTCTTCTGGGAACCATTTCTTCCTCTCTTGCAGGAAAAGTCTATACTTTCCTCCTCCTCTTCTTTGCCAGGTAAGCAGGTGGACAAGACCTCACATGGCAAAAGACAACCCTCCCAGCTGGGAGTCCTGGTTGGGGGTTTATTTGCCCTTTAATAGCTAAGAGGCTTGCCCCAGTTTCCCTGGTGCCTCGTTCTCACTTTCAAATAAATGTCACCTTTGCTTCCACTTCTTCTGCCTCTGTTCTCTTTTTAGGTTTTATATGTGTGTGGGGCTGTGATCAATCCCAGGTCTCACTGGTGGCAGGCCCAGACTTAATCACTGAGCTTTTTATTATGTTATTTTCTAAAGAGGAAACATTCCTGGAAAAATGTCCAGGATTTGAAATGCTAGAAATGGGATCGTTGGGTGTAATGGGTTACATTGATGCTGAGAAACTGCCTTCATGGGTTCTGTTCGTCAAATTTTACCCTATACTTCGTGTGTGTGTGTGTGTGTGTGTGTGTGTGTCGTTGTGAGGCTTGAACTCTAGGCTTGGGCAAGGCATGCGCTCTACCACTTGAGCCACAGCACCACTTCGGGTTTTCTGGTGGTTTACTGGAGATAAGAGTCTCAGGACTTTCATGCCCAGGTTGGCTTTGAACCTTAATCCTCAGATCTCAGCCTCCTGAGTAGCTAGGATTACAGGCATGAGCCACCGGCACTCTGCTACCCTACACTTCTTGAGATACTGTATTCCCACACACCAACACTAATGTGGGAAAGTTTAAGCTTCTTGATCTTTCCTAATTCGATAGAAAGCCAGTGTTTGGCTTTTTATTAATGTATGGTTTTAGCAAACCCCTTGTGCTCTTTTTGGTGCCCTGGGTTTTGAACCCAGGGTCTCACATTTGTTAACAGGAATTCTACATCAAGTCACACCTCCAGCTGTTGTCTCCTATTTATTTACTTATTTCCAAGTCCTTAGGTTTGAACTCAGGGCATGCACACTTTCCCTGAGCTTCTTTTGCTCAAGGCTAATACTGCACCACTTGAGCCACAGCACCACTTATGGCTTTTTCTGTGTTATGTGGTACTGGGGAATAGAACCTAGGGCTACATGCATACTAGGCAAGCACTCTACCACTAAGCCACATTCCCAGCCCTCCTGTTACGTTTTGAAACAAAATATCACTCTGTGTATCCAGGGTTGGCTTCAAACTTGAAATCCTCCTAAGGACTAATCTACCTGAGTGTTGGGGTTATAAGCACGAGCCCCCACACGTGGCTTTTAGTATATATATATATATATATATATATTTTTTTTTTTTTTGGTCAGTCCTGGGGCTTGAACTCTGGGCCTGAGCATTGTCCCTCAGCTCTTTAGCTCAAGACTAGTGCTCTACCTCTTGAGCCACAGTGCCACTTCCAGCTTTCTGAGTGGTTTATGGGAGATAAGAGTCTCCTGGAAGAGCTGGGAAGGTAGCTCAGTGGTAGAGCGCTTGCCTTGCATGCATGAGGCCCTGGGTTTGATTCCTCAGCACCACATAAGCAAAAAAGAAAAAAGCCAGAGGTGGCGCTGTGGCTCAAGTGGTAGAGCGCCATCCTTGAGCTGAAGAGCTGAGGGACAGCCCAGAGTTCAGGCCCCAAGACTGGACCCCCCCCCCAAAAAAAAAGAGTCTCCTGGACTTTTCTTGCATGGGCTGGCTTTGAACCTTGATCCTCGGATCTCAGCCTCCTGAGTAGCTAGGATTACAGGCGGGAGCCACCACACCCTGCTACTTTGAGTATATTTTAACTGTTCTTAGGATTATTTTTCTTTCTTTCCCCCAGTCCTGGGGCTTGAACTGAATGTTGTCCATGAGCTCTTTTTGTCACATGCTCTACCACTTTGAGTCACAGGTCCATTCTGATTTTCTGGTGGCTGTTTGGAGAGAAGAAGACAGACTTTCCTGCCTAGGCTGGCTTTAAACTGCTATCTTCAGATCTCAGCCTCCTGAGTAGCTAGGGTGACAAGCATGAGCCACCAGCGCCTGGCTGAAATTTTTTTTTTTTAATGGAGTGATTGGTTATATACTTTGTAGTCAGTTGTGTCAATTTAGCCTTTGTGGACAACACTTTGGCAGGACCAGGCTGATGAAAAATGACTTAAAGGAAAAGCACTCACCTTTGCCCTCACAGTAAAATCTTAGAACTTCCCTAGCTTGCTGAATCATCTCCCTTTCCCCTCCTCCTCCCCAAACATACCTTAAGGCTGTGAAAGAGATAACTTGTGATCCGAGGGCCTGGACGTTTCTAGACAAGATGTTGTAAAAACCCCTTTTTCCTGAAACTCAAGATTCCATCTTTGCACAAAGAGCCCCTTCCTTGCTTTCCCATCCTTTGCCCCCCTGCCCCTGATGTGTGCCCCACCTGACCTCATTCTCCCTGCCTGGATGAAGAAGAGTGGTTGCACATTTCTTCTTCAGCTTGGCTGAAGGAAACATGGTCACCCTTCCCAGGTGGAACCAAATAAAACCTGTTGGCCTGTGGAGCTGGCCTCCCTGCCCTTTGCTTCATTCATACACCTGGTACTTGAAATACTTCCTTAATATTTCCTAAATAATAATTATTACACAGGCAAAATGAAAAAAATCCAACTCTGGCACTTCCATAAATTTATCTGCATGCATACACGTTAAAAAAAAACCCTAACTAAATTACATTGTGCCAGTACAAAGGCTTGAACTCAGGACCTGAGCACTGGGGCCGGCGCTCTATCACGTGGGCTACAGCTCCACTTCCAGTTTTTGTTTTTTTTTTTTGGGTCCAGTCGTGGGTCCTGAACTCTGGGCCTGGGCACTGTCTCTCAGCTCTTCAGCTCAAGGCTAGCGCTCTACCACCTGAGCCACAGCGCCACTTTTTTTTTTTTTTTTTTGCTTATGTGGTGCTGAGGAATCAAACCCAGGGCCTCAGGCATGCAAAGCAAGCGCTCTACCACTGAGCCACCTTCCCAGCCCCCCCAGTTTTTTTTTTGGTGATTAATTGGAGATAAGGGTCTCACAGACTTTCCTGCATGTTACAGGCAAAACTCACAGACTTTCCTGCATATTACAGGCAAAACTAAGTTAATTATTTTGTCACTGGATGTAGGTGAAAACTATTACGGGTATTTATATGGTAAATGCAGGGGGTTCAAAGTTATGTTCTAGTCTAGTTACTTTTTGAGTTTCTGGATGTTTGGAGCATTCTTTCCAGATAAGCATGCATCCTGCCATAAAACAGATCCTTATCTTTGAGCTAAGGAAGGTATCCTGTTGTCTGCTTTTTGGGGCCGGTTGCATAAGTTTTGGGGGAGCATTTCTCTCAGGAAGGAATGCATCCTGTCGTCTCTCTTTGAAGCAAAGATAGTGCTTCTGTGTTTCTAAATACCATGTTTCTGAGTTGCCTTCACCAGGCCTCTTTTTCCTCAATTTATCCTGACTCAATTTCACTCTGCCACATCCTCCACGCTCATCCTGCCCCAAGCTCATTGTCTAGGGTTAAAAAAAAAATCCCCTTGGAACATCCACTCGTCCCAATCCTATCCCAGGGCCTCAACTCCATCCCCCAAATGCCTCCCAAGCTTCTTCTTGGGGTTCCCATCATGGGAAGCGTAATCCAACCCCTAAGATTCCCCCCGAACGTGGGGTTGCTTCAGCGACTCAGGCTCGGTTCCAGATTCCGCCCCTTGACACGCTTTCCGAACTGGATCTAGGCCGAAGCCACGCCCCCGAATCAGACCACGCCCCCAAGATGCCACGCCTTCCACGCTTGCTCTGCTTTCTCCTTACGAGCGGGACCTCGTCACGCCCACCAGCCGTGACCACGCCCCACTATGTATTCAAGGTCACGCCCACCGAATTGGCGCTTATCACCGGGCTGGCCTCTGGGCCTCGGCCCCTCACGGCCCCTCACAGCTCCCCGCGGCCCCACCGGCCAGGCTCGGTCTCGGTCACCGGCCCAGGCCTGCAAACCGGCCCCAGCCTTAGGCAGTGGGAGTTCTGGAAGCCCACTATTTCCTCAGGAAAAGTTCTGGAAAAGTGAGTTTTGTCAGTCGACTTTTGGAAGTCACGGCCAGAGCCCCTCCAGGCCGCCTCCAGCGCCGCTGTGACCGGAAACGGAAGTGCGTGTCGGTCAGTGGAACCATGGCGTCTTTAGTGGACCTGCCGGACTTGGTGCTTCTGGAGATCTTCTCTTACCTCCCGGTCCGGGACCGGATCCGCATCTCCAGGTGCCGCCCCGCTCCTCGGGGGGAAGAGCCGGGCAGGGGCGCACCCGGAGATGCCGACCGGGACCCTGGCGAGGCCGGGGTCGCGCTAACGACCGGTCACCTCCCTCAGGGTCTGTCACCACTGGAAGCGGCTGGTGGACGACCGCTGGCTGTGGCGACACGTCGACCTGACGCTGTACACGGTGAGCTGGGCCTGCGGCGGGGGCGGGGCCCGAGGGGGTGTGGCGGGGGCGGGGCCTCGGCGCAGCCTGGTTTTGCCTGGGGTCCATTCCTGCCCCGCCCACCCCTGCCTGGCCCGGATGTTGGGGGCTTTGGGGAGGGGGTGGATTCGTGCCTAAGCTCGTGCTTGGTGCTTTAGCAAATATTGGGTTAGGACTGCGCAGCGTTTTTCGTTGTTATTGGTGGTGGTGGTGGTGGTCGGTTGGTTTGGTTCTGCTGGTTCCACTTGAGCTACGCTTGCAGTCTAGCATTTTGCAGGCCCATGGGTCATGCAGTCTCATGGATTTCTCTGCTCAAGCCATCCTTGGATCTGGAGCCTCTGGATCTCAGCCTTTTGTGTAGATGGGATGACAGGGAGGGAGCCATCAATCAAGCCTGGTGTGTGTGTGTGTGTGTGTGTGTGTGTTGGTAATGGGTCATTGTGCCCTTGGGCACTGTCCTTAGCTTTTTCTCTCAAGGCTGGAGCTCTACCACTTGACCCGCAGCTCCACTTCTGGCTTTTTGCTGGTGACTTGGAGAGAAGAGTCTCACCGATTTTGCTGTCCAGGCTAGCTTCGAACCGTGATCTTCATTTCTCAGCCTCTTAAGGTGTGAGCCACCGGTGCCTGGTTCCACTTGCTTTACCACGCTAGAAATCCAATCTTACCTTTAGTCGTCCCTTGGTGAGGACATTGGTTCTAAGAGTGCGAAAGTCCCAGGATGCTGACATCTATATAAAATGACATGGTGTCCTGTGTACATTGCCGGTAGACTTTATCTGCAGATGACTTAGAACATCTGATAAAGGGTTGGGAAGGTGGCTCAGTAGTAGAGTGCTTACCTTGCATGCATGAGGCCCTGGATTCATTTCTCAGCACCACCTAAGCAGAAAAAGCCGGAAGTGGTGCTGTGGCTCAAGTGGTAGAGCGCTAGCCTGGTGCAGAAGAGCTGAGGGGCAGCGCCCAGGCCCAGAGTTCAAGCCCCGCGACCAACAAGAAAAACCCTGAAAACAAAAAGAACATCTGATAGAATTCAAGCTGTGTGGAACTAGTTGGTTTTTGTCATGTGATTTTTTTTAAAATCAGCCCTGGGGCTTGAACTCTGGGCTTGGGTGCTGTCCCTAAGCTCTTCAGCACAAGGCTAGTGCTCTACCACTTGAGCCACAGCACCATTTCTGGTTTTCTGGTGGTTAATTGGAGATGAGAGTCTCATGGACTTTATTGCAGGGGCTGGCTTTGAACCATGATCCTCAGATCTCAGCCTCCTGAGTAGGTAGGATTACAGGCATGAGCCACCAGCTTCCAGCTTGTCATGTGATATCTTTAGTCATCTAATAATTTGTAGGAAATGATGACCCCCTCCCCCCCCAAAAAAGGATTATGTCTGTTTAGCACAGATGTCTTTGTCTAAGTTGTTTCTGCTGCTGTTGATTGATAGGAAGTCCCCAGAGGCTGGCCTGAAGCCACAGAAATTCCCCCTAGGGGCTTTGCAACGTCTGCCTCCCCACATCTGGTTTATATCTTAGTGTGTATAACCTAAGGAGGGTCTCATCCAGCACTTTGCCAGGAAAGGTTGATTTTTACCCATTGGCTTTGTGCCTATTTTGTATTTTGCTGACTAGGGCTTCTACACTGGGGAGTTAGTTATCTGCCAGCAGCCAATATTTCTATTCAATTTCTAGGAGCCAAACTTACAGGACTACATTTGGCCAGGAAAATTTGTTTCCTTTGTCCAAAAATAGTCAATAAAGATGAACATGGTGGTGGGTCCCTGTAATCGCAGCACTGACATATGGAAGTCATGAGTTCAAGGGCAGCTTGGGCTATGTAGGGAGTTAATCTCAAACAAAACAAAGTATTATTCAATAAAATGTATACTGTGAAGCCAGGCATGGTAGTACAGGCCTATAATCTTAGCACTCAGGAGGCAGAGGCAGGAAGAACTGGTTTGAAGCTAGCTTGAACTATATAGTGAGACTGTCTCAAATCAGTTATGCTCTAGACTGGGGATGTAACTCAATGGTAGGGTATTCTGGGTATTTTAGGGCCCTGGATTCAGTACCCAGCACAAAATATTAATTCAATATTTATTTTTTGGTGCCAGTTCTGGGGCTTGAACTCTGGGTGCTTCCCCCGCCCCCAGCTTCTTTTGCTCAAGGCAAGTGCTCCACCACTTGAGGCACAGCTCTACTTCTGGCTTTTTTGGTGACTCACTGGAGATAAGAATCTCATGGATGGGCTGGGAGGTGGCCCAGTGGTAGAGTGCTCGCCTTGAGCTAAAGAGCTGAGGGACAGCGCCCAAGCCCAGATTTCAGGCCCCACGACCAACAAAAAGAAAAAAAAGAATCTCATGGACTTTCTTACCCTGGCTGGCTCCAAACCACAATCCTCAAGTCTCAGCCTCCTAAATTACTAGGAGTGAGCCACCAGCACCTGGTTATGATTTTCTGTAAGACAACAACAACAACAAAAACGCACATATGTATGTATGTATATATATGTCTATACAATAAATTAAAAAATAAAACAAAAATATGCGTCTAATATGCTAGGGGCAGTTTCAGCCTGTTTTAGTCTGTACCTATTTCTCCCAGAGGTGGCCATCAGTCAAAAGGTTATAGATCCGGGTGTGGTGGTGCATGGCTGTAGTCCCAGCCTCTGGAGGAGCCATCGGCAGCGGCCAGATGGGTGTTTGAGGCCAGCCTGGGCGGCACCGGCAGACTGGGGCTTCCAGGGCCGCGTCTGGTTTTCTGTGTTGCGTAGGGCGCAGTGGGAACCCGCTCCGCACACAGAAGGACCTGGGTTCTAGCAGTCGAAATGGGGATGCCAAACCACCTTGCCCGGCAAGCCCAGAGGGGACACCCGAGCCCATGCCGGGGTGTGCCCGCCACCAGCTGGGCACTGCCGGGACTCCCCTGGCCTCTGACCCGTCACCCCCCATCCCTGGCTCTTACAGATGCGGCCTAAAGTCATGTGGCACCTGCTTCGCCGGTACATGGCGTCGCGGCTGCACTCGCTGCGGCTGGGCGGCTACCTCTTCTCGGGCTCCCAGGCCCCCCAGCTGTCCCCCGCCCTGCTGAGGGCCCTGGGCCAGAAGTGCCCCAACCTGCAGCGCCTGTGCCTGCACGTGGCCGACCTGAGCATGGTGCCCATCACCAGCCTGCCCAGCACGCTGCGGACCCTGGAGCTGCACAGCTGCGAGATCTCCATGGCGTGGCTGCTGAAGGAGCAGGACCCCACGGTGCTGCCGCTGCTCGAGTGCATCGTGCTGGACCGCGTGCCCGCCTTCCGCGACGAGCACCTGCAGGGCCTCACGCGCTTCCGGGCGCTGCGCTCGCTGGTGCTGGGCGGCACCTACCGCGTCACCGAGACCGGCCTGGACGCCAGCCTGCAGGAGCTCAGCTACCTGCAGAGGTTCGAGGTGCTGGGCTGCACCCTGTCCGCCGACAGCACCCTGCTGGCCATCAGCCGCCACCTCCGCGACCTGCGCAAGCTCCGGCTGACCGTGGGGGGCCTCTCCGCCCCGGGCCTGGCCCGGCTGCAGGGGATGCCAGCCCTGGAGAGTCTGTGCCTTCAGGGCCCCCTCATCACCCCGGAAATGCCCACCCCCGCCGAAATCGTCGCCTCCTGCCTGGCCATCCCCAAGCTCCGAGTGCTGGAGCTGCAGGGGCTGGGCTGGGAGGGGCAGGAGGCGGAGAAGATCCTGTGCCGGGGGCTGCCCCACTGCGTGGTCATCGTCAGGCCCTCCCCCAAGGAGTCCATGGACTGGTGGATGTGAGGGGACGCCCCTCTCCCGGGCCAGCCCGGAGGGCGGGCCGTGGTGGAGCACCAGGACAGCCCAGGGCCTCGGGGCGGGGCGTCGGAGGGTGCCCGGCGTGTGGGCATGGCCACGGGCAGGGCTTCCCCCCACAGCCCGCCTCGGGGAGGCCCACCCCGCGTACGAAACAGCCACCAGAGCTACCTCGTGAATACCCTGTCCAGCGCAGACCCTGCCCTATATGCAGGCTATATGCAGTGCCTTTTCCCGGGTCATCCTCAGGGTTGTGTCCTCAGGACCCCCGAGGGGCTGGAGCTGGGGCCTGGGGCCTCGCCCTTCTCCAGCCCAGGAGGATGATCCATGCCTGAGCTCGAACCTATGCAGTCCCTTCTCTCCGCATGCGAGGCATTGGATCTTAGTGCTCCAAGCCTGTCTTTGCATAGCCAAATGTTTCCAAAGGTTCTATTTTGTATTCTGCTTTTTTCAAGTTTTCCATGGTATATATTTTGCTATTAAAAAAAACCCAATAACCTTTTTTTTTAAAGCATTTGGTTCATTCATTCCACAAGTGTTTCTCGAACACCCATTACTTTTTAGGCATGGTACCCGGAGCTGTAGTGGAAGGGGTAGGTTCATAAGCAGGTCAGTACATTGGGATAATTCTGGAACATGGGGAAGGTACTGCCACTTAGTAAAGGACAGAGATGAGAAAGGAGCCAGCAGCCATGGACTGAGGAAGAAGAGATGGAGGCTGGGATGTGGCTCATGCCTATAATCTTAGCTACTCAGGAGGCTGAGATCTGAGGATTGCAGTTCAAAGCCAACTCCTGCAGGAAAGGCTGTAAGACTATTTCCAATAAACCACCAGAAACCCAGAAGTGGTGCTGTGGGTCAAGTAGTAGAGCGCTTGCCTTGAGCTGAAGAGCTGAGGGACAGTGTCCAAGCCCAGAGTTCAATCCCATGACTGATCCCCCCCCCCCCCCGCAAAAAAAGAATGAGTGCTTGTCTAGCATGTGCAAAGGCCCTTGAAAAGGTGGGGGTGGGGAATGAACTTGGCACTACCCAGAAACAAGAAGGCGGTGGCTGCATCAGGCAGTGTCTGCAGGTGGCTCAGGATGTGGGGTTCCAGTAACAGCTCCTCTTCCTGCCCTTTGAGGTGGAATTCTTTGCGGATGCAGGTGTCAGCAAGCCAGGGTCCTGGGCGCCTACCTGTGAGCTAGAGTGAGTGAGGGGCAGATGGAGCTCAGCCTCAGGTCTGTGGAGCCAGGAGAGAGGGGTGTGAGCTGGGCCTGTTAGGGGAGCTGGACTAGGTTCTTTGCTGGGTTTTCTTCACAAGGACCCCAGATGTGACCATGCTTGGTCTAACTGTCCAAATCTGACCAGCCCTACCAACCTGAGTCACTGACTCTCACTGCACCTTACCTCTAGACTCTGCAATGGTTTTTGTTGTTGTTGCTGTTTCTGTTTTGTCGGTTGTGGGGGCTGAACTCTGGGCTTGGGAACTGTCCCTCAGCTCAAGGCTAGCGCTCTACCACTTGAGCCACAGTGCCACTTCTGGCTTGTTCTGCATATGTGGTGCTGAGGAATCGAACCCAGGGCCTCATGTATGCAAGGCAAGCGCTCTACTGAGCCAACTTCCCAGCCCTGTTTTTTTTTTTGTTGTTGTTATTTTTGTTTTTTTTTTTGGGTCCGGTCATGGGGCCTGAACTCTGGGCCTGGGCGCTGTCCCTCAGCTCTTCAGCTCAAGGCTAGCACTCTACCACTGGAGCCACAGCGCCACTTCTGGCTTTTTCTGTTTATGTGGTGCTGAGGAATCGAACCCAGGGCCTGATGCTTGCAAGGCATGCACTCTACCGCTGAGCTACCTTCCCAGCCCCAACTGTTTTTTTTTTTTTTTTGCTTATGTGGTGCTGAGGAATGGAACCCAGGGCCTCAGGCATGCAAGGCAAGCGCTCTACCACTGAGCCAATTTCCCAGCCCAACTGTTTGGTTTTTTGAGATAGGGTCTCACCTGTAGCCTAGGCTGACCTCTAACTTGTTCCTCCTACATTGGCCTCACAGAAACTGACGTAAGCCAGGTGCCAGTGGCTCATGCCTGTAATCCTATCTACTCAGGGAGCTGAGATTTAAGGATCATGGTTCAAAGCCAGCAAGGGGGGTGGGAGTTGGCAATGTGGTTCAGTGGTAGAGTGCTTGCCTAGCATGCATGAAGCCCTGGGTTCGATTCCTCAGTACCACATAAACAGAAAAAGCAGGAAGTGGGAGAGTACTAGTCTTGAGCAAAAGAAGCTTGGGGACAGTGCCCAGGCCCTGAGTTCAAGCCCAAGGATTGGCAAAAAAAACAACAACAACAAAACAAAAACCCAAAAAAAGAAAAAACAAAAAAAAGAAGCCATCACGGGCAGGAAAGTCCGTGAGACTCTAATTTCCAGTAAATCACCAGAAAACCAGAAGTGGCACTGTGGCTCAAGTGGTAGAGCGCTCGCCTTGAGCTAAAGAGCTGAGGGACAGCGCCCAGGACAAGTTCAAGCCACACAACTGACCAAAAAAAAAAAGCTGACATGCAGGTATGCATTACCACACTCAGTTTGGTGACCCCTTTTTCTTGTCAGTTGTGGGGCTTGAAATCTGGGCCTGGGTGCTGTCCCTTATGCTCTACCACTTGAGCCACAGTGCCACTTCTAGTTTTCTGGTGGTTAACTGGAGATGAGTCTCATGTCACATGGATGTTCCTTCCCAAGCTGGCTTTGAACCTTGATCCTCAGATCTCAGCCTCCTGAATAGTTAAGAGTTACAGGCGTGAGCCGCCGGTGCCATCAGTGACCCCCTTTTTTTTGGTCGGCCGTGGGGCCTGAACTCTGGGCCTGGGCATTGTCCCTCAGCTCTTCAGCTCAAGGCGAGCACTCTACCACTTGAGCTACAGTGCCACTTCCAGTTTTCTGGTGGTTTATTGGAGATAGGAGTCTCACGGTCACTCCTACTCGGGCTGGCTTTGAACCTCGATCCTCAGATCTCAGCCTCCTGAGTAGCTAGGATACAGGCGTGAGCCACCAGCGCCCCGCCAGTGACCCCCTTTTTTCACGTCTACCTCCAGAGGGTATAGGCAACACCTACCAGTGAGTCACACCCCTTGCTAAAAGTAATTTATCCTAAGTTAAGCACAGTGGCACATGCCTATAGTCTCTCTGAAGCATATCACTTGAATCTGGGAATTCAAGACTAACCTGAGCAACAAAGTAAGCCTGCCTCAAAAACTTCTTGCCAGACGCCTGGTGGCTCATGCCTATAATCCTAACTACTCAGAAGGCTGAGATCTAAGGATCACAATTCAAAGCTAGCCTGGGCAGGAAAGTCTGTGAGACTCTTAGCTCCCATAAACCACTCAGAAAACCAGAAGTGATGCCATGGCTAAAGTGGTAGACCACTAGCCTTGAGCTGAAGAGCTAAGGGACAGTGTTCAGGCCCAGAGTTCAAGCCCCATGACTGACAAAAAGAAAAAAAAGGGGTCACTGAACAGAGTGTGGTAACGTACACCTGTAATGTGAGCTTTCTAAGTTAGGGATATAGCTCAGCATTACATCACTTGCCTGGCATACACAATCATCACACACAAAAAACCTTTTAAAGGATTAAAAATTGTGCTTAGAGCTGGGCACAGTGGCTCACACCTATAACCCTAGCTACTCAGGAGGCTGAGATCTGAGGATCATGGTTCAAAGCCAGTCTGGGTAGAAAAGTCCATGAGAGTCATTTCCAATTAACTACTCAGGAAAAGCCATTAGTGGCAGTGTTGCTCAAATGGTAGAAAGCTAGCCTTGAGCACAAAGAGGCTCAGGAATAGTGCCTAGTCCCTGAGTTCAAGTCCAAGGACTGGCAAAAAAAAAGTTTTGCTGACTAGAGTAATACATTTATAAAGAAATTATAACATTACAGAATATAAACCTCTTTTGAGTAGCTGGACCCAAAGGGAGTCATTATGGAAAGTTATACATCTCATAATCTACAATATACTTTGTGTACTTTGGGGCTTTGGGGAAAAATCAATACATGACACCCCTTTATTTCCCTTCCCAATTTCGGTCCAGTCACAGGAATTACACAGGAAGACATTAACTTCATCTGGGCCTGGTGGTGCAAGCTTGTAATCCTAGCTACTCAAGACACTCCCAGGTCAAAGATAACTCAGGTAGAAAAGACTCCTCCTCCAACTAAACAGCACACACACACACACACACACACACACACACACACACACACACACACACACGAAATGCTCCTCAAAGACACACCCCCAGTAGCGTACTTCCTTTAACCAGGCCTCTTCCTCCTAACAGTCCATACCCATTCTGTTCTAAATCAATAGGTTATCCACTGATGAATTCAGAGCTCTAGTGATCCAATCATTTTTAGAAGCCTCACCTTTGAACACTGTTACATTGGGGAACGAAGCAAGAATCTTTTTTTTGGAGGGGAGGGCAGTGGAGAACTTCATATCTAAACCATTGCTAAATACAACAGAAAAAGCTGACCGAATAATTTCCATTTTCACAATATGGGAAGAAAACTAGTAGGTGAGCATGGACGTAATGGTGGTTAGAGCAGGGACGAAGGGAAGTGATACTAGACCGGTTTTCAAAGGTTGAACTGGAGATCCTCATGCCAGCTTTCCTATATTAGCCTGTGGGCCTGGGAGTGGCCATCACCAAGTTTGACTTGGTGATGATCTAATCAATAATGGTGCCATGGCAGAGCTTCCCAGGTATGTGAAGGACCTTGTCTTCTTGGTTGGTTGTGGGGCTTGAGCTCAGATCCTGGGCGCTTTCCCTGAGTCTCTTATGTTCAAGGTTAGCTCTCTACCGCTTAACCCACAGTGCCACTTTTTTTTTGGCCAGTCCTCAGGCTTGAACTCAGGGTCTGGGCACTGCCCCTGAGCTGCTTTTGCTCAAGGTTAGCACTTGAGCCTCAGTGCCACACTTTTCTATGTGATACTGAGGAATCAGACCCAGGGCTTCATGCATGCTAGGCAAGCACTCTACCACTAAGCCACATTACCAGTTTTTGAGTGGTTGGAGATGAGTCTCATGGGCACTTTTCTGCTCAGGCTGGCTTCAAACCATGATCCTCAGATCTCAACCTCCTGAGTAGCTAGAATTATTAGTGTGGGTCTCTGGCATCCAGGGAAGGACATTTAAAGGTAGGTATGTTGTCTTGAGTTTCTCATATGGGATCTGCACAGCTCTCTTCCTTCCCCTTGGTTTTTTATTTTACAATACTGGGGTTTGAATTCAGAGCCTTATGTTTGCTATGAGGGTTCTGTACCACGTAAGCTACATTCCCAAGCCCTTTTTGCTTGGTTTTTAAAATTTATGTGTGTGTGCCCATGTGCATGCATGCCCATGTGCCCTGGTCCTGAGGCTTGAACTGAGGGCCCAGATGCTGTCACTGAACTTTTGCTCAAACCTAAGGCCTTACCTCTTGAGCCACAGCTCCAC